CTGCCAACAGTATCAAGATAATGATTTTGTTTCAATTCAGCCATGCGCTGCACCTTCTGAGATTGTTGCCTAAATTCTCAACTAGATTCTTTAAATAAATAAAATGTTTGAAGAGACTTACTTAAAAAGGAGACAACTGAAGTACCTCGTTCTGGTATGTATGAGATTAGTTGTTTCTACGCGAATGCAGTCGGCTTAGGCGAGGCATTCACCTGCATTGCAAACGGTAAGTGAAGCTACTTCACCCTGAGGGAAGTATTGATTGTGAGTACTGACTATTTGCCTCACGCAACCATCGCGTGTAATGTTGTAAACGAAGGAATGAACAATTAAATATGAATAAATGGACCCAAATCGACCGAGGAGCCAGCTTTTGCAAAAGGAGAGAAATGTATTATAATCGCTATGACTTAAGCGGACTTGTGGGATACCAAGGATACCAGTATTGTAAATTTTCCTCAAATACTCGGATTCATCATATATAAACATGAAGGATTGGACATTGAGTGAGTTTAACTCAAATAGAGAGCATCAACAGAGCATCAAGAGTGCTGTGTCGCTGGTAGATGCTTCTACCGTGACTTTAGATATTCCAAACAAATGTTAACTGAAAAATGATCCTAGAGTTTGGTCGTGAAAAGCTCTTACAATCTCAGACTTTTCTAGAACTTGCTCATACCCTTTATAGGGTTTTCTTAAAGTCACATTCCCAACAATAAATGTGGACTAGTAACTCTTTTTTAAAGTAGGACTACGTATAAAATCTTATGTTGTTTAGCGATGGCGCAAGAATTAGTATGAAGCAAGTTAGTGTTTCCATCGTTGGAAATTTGTTCGATTACGTTTATCACTTTCAAACTGAGCGGTACCAGAAGCTTTTATACCAAAGTTCCCGTAAGATCTGCTTGCCAGTCGATCGCAATTCAATTGCAATTATACCGCAATTCAAAGGTGTAAGATCCGTCTAGACATAGAACTAAGATGGAGCTAGCTTCACAGAAGGAAGGCTTTCTAAAGATCAAATAGATGATTACATTGGATTCTTTGATATAGTAGATAAAATTTTGAGAATATTGCAAAAATTCCCTATGAAATTATGAAATGAGCTAAAAAAAGAAAGCCACATTAAGGGAAAATCTTGTAGTAAATTATGCTATTCTGAAATTTTATTCCTTTTTGACTACAATTTCTGTTAATATTTATCGTCCGTCTCTACCTCTTGTCATCAACGCTCAAGCAGATTATCAATGCCTCTTACATAGTCGGCCCCGAGCCGACAAAGTAAGCCGCTCCATTGTTAA